GGTGTCACACGTGAACACACATGAAGCGGCCTCATACTGAATCAGACCCCCCCCCCTTGGTCCATCTAGGTCAGTATTGTCTACTCTGACTGGCTGCAGCTCTCCAGGGTCTCGGGCGGAGGCATCTCACATCACTTCCTACCTGGTCCTTTTAACTGGACAGGCCGGGGATTAAACCTGGGACCTTCTGTGTGCAAAGCAGAGGCAGCCATGGCTCCCCCCCCCCCCAAGAAGTAGTGCTAAAACCAGGAACTCAGATCTAAAACATGCACACAACAGGAGACAAAGACTCTATCTGCTGCCAAGTCATTCCAAGATACCAGGACTCTAAGGATGCGGTGCTCATCTCCGTTTCCAAGCCTGCAGTCTGCTTCACAATCCTCCCCTGTACACTCCACACCAATGCTTCCCCCACCACCATCACCTCGAGTATGTGCCTGTGGGAGTTATACATGCTCGATGCTCCCGTTCTTGACCCATCCTCACAGGACCTCCAGGAAGTCTGCCACTCCAGAACTCTCATAGAATCATAGAGTTGGAAGTGACCTCCAGGGTCATATACCGGTAGTCCAACCCCCTGCACAATGCAGGAAATTCACATATGCCTCCCCCCCACACACGCACCCCGTGACCCCTGCTCCATGCCCAGAAGATGACCCAAAAAAACCCCTTCAAGATCCCCGGCCAAAGTAGCCTGGAGAAAAACTGCTTCCTGACCACTGTTCCCTCTAAGCTGAGTTAGTGTGAGCTAGCTCACAGTTCTTTAGCCTCTGGCTCACACATTTTTGTCTTAGCTTAGGAAACATGGCTCTAGAGCAAGCTAATTTATGCAGCAGGCAAATCGCTCGCTCACAACTTTAATGCCAGTAGCTCACAAAGTAGAATTTTTGCTCACAAGACTCCACAGCTTAGAGGGAACATCCTGACCCCAAAGTGGCAATCAGCATTTCCCTGGGCATCTCATTATAATGCAGTGTGAGAGCACCAAGGTAGCTGGGCCTCACCTGGGCCTCACCTGCCCAACCAGGATCCCCCACCCCTGGGCTTTCCCTACATGCACCCCCATCTCCGTGCCGCACACTTACTGTACTGATAGTTTCGAGGTTCTTGGCTGACCGAAGGGACTCCTCTTTTCAGCTGCTCCTGCAAAGACAAAATGCTAAGTGTCAATGGCATCAACCACATTATTATAGCTATATGGAGGAAAATGGCTGCAGCGAAGCTCCGCTTGTGGCATGCACATTTCACGTTGCTGTTAAATAAACTGCGGAGTGTTTGTGCGCTTAGGCTGTAACTCGAGATTCGAAGCTGCTGCAGAGACTGCGATTTTTTTCCAAGGTGATGCAAATGTTACGGCTCGGAAATTACATTTCCAAGCACCTTCAATATGCAGCTGTAACTCTACAGAATGCTTCTTCGAAAGTAGCAGCAAGTAGCCTTGAAGAAGAACATTTGCACACCAAACACAACATTCCAAAATGATTAAAGTGAGGTTTATTAAGTGCCTAGAGCTGCAGCGCCTTCCTGGAGAAAGCCTCATTGATTCAATGGGACTTACTTACAAGCAGACCTGTTTAGGACAGCTCCTTATAGGTGCTAGTGATGTACGCAAAACATGGATGATTTGTGCAAGTTTACAATCCAAGGAGAGGGGAAAATGTCAAATGCAAAAGGCATGAAAGGATTTTTGAGGCGGTCCTAGCAACAAGGAGGAGGAGGTGAAGGAGATTGGATTTATACTCCACCCTTCACTACCCAAAGGAGTCTCAGAGCGATTTACAATCCCTCTCCCTTCCCCTCCCCACAACAGACACAACTGTGAGGTAGGTGGGGATGAGAGAGCTCTCTTGAGAACTGCCCTTGAGAGAACAGCTCTGAAAGATCTTATGACTGACCCAAGGTCACACCAGCAGGTGCATGTGGAGAGGTGGGGAATCAAACCTGGTTCTCCCAGATTAGAGTCTGTGCTCTTAACCACTACACCAAACTGGCTTTGGATTTGGAACTTAAGTTATAGAGTAACACTTAAGTTATAGATCAGTCTAAAAGAGGCAATAGTTGTCCAGCTGAGGTGCAGTGAAATAGTTGGCAGATGTGCCTCCTTACTGGGGCGGGGGAGAACATCACAAGAGGCAAATTATTAGTCTGCCAACCGGGACAACAAAGTTATCAATTGCTACATTTCTACTTCCTTGTTGCCCTTAATAAAGTGATGCAATGAATGAGAGTGGTTGGATACTTTTATGTTATTTGCATTTCAGTCTATTTCCTTATCTCGCAACTATATGAATAAAATCTTCTTGGAAATGGGGATATTAACTATTCGAAAACTAATTTCCCCAGCAAATTTCCACCTGTGTTACCGGGGAACGCGCAACTCGTTACACAGAAAGGAAGAGACAGCTTGCAGTTTATTAATCAAAACTATCACATGCCAGACTGATAAACGAGGAACAGCTCTGCTTCCTGTTTGATAAGGTGGTTCCCCCAGTATCTCCAGTCACATGTTCAAAAACCGGTTCTGGAAAGCGGCAGGACATTCTGCAAATTACAGTCCTTACAAATTAGGCAGTTTATCCCTAATCCGCAAGACAAGATTCAAAGGGCAGTGGCAGGGCCCATGTTCAAGTGGCACAAAAGCTTCTGCTGCTCATAAGATACAAGATCACCGCTTGGTCAATCTGTCAAACATTTCTAGAAACAGTGCTGCTTCCAGTATGGAGCCTTTAAATTCCAGTAATAACTGCATGTCTGTTTGGACTTAAGCAGCAGAATTGCTGGTGAAAGATACTCTGGCAGACAAGTCTAAAAGTCTAACACAGTAGGTTGGAAATGCTGCAACAGCAAAATACTGCCTAGAATAATTTGTGAAAAACAAGGGAAAGAAGAGAGGAAAGTTCTGCAAGCCCAGCAGTTTCTCTCTTGCTGAAAACTGTGCCCCTCTCCATAGGTAAAGGAAAAGGTTTCCCTTGCTCAAAAGCCAGTCGGATCTGACTCTAGGGGGCGGTGCTCATCTCCGTTTCCAAGCCGAAGAGCCAGCACTGTCCGAAGATGTTTCCATGGTCATGTGGCCAGCATGACTAAACGCCGAGGCACACGGAATGCTGTTACCTTCCCACCGAAGCGGTACCTATTTATCTGCTTGCAGGTTGGCAGGAGCCGGGGCCAGAGACGGGAGCTCACTCCAACACGCAGCACTAGGGTCTCGAACTGCCAAACGACAGACCTTCCGGTCTGCAGCATCAGCATCTAAACCTCTGAGCCACTGCAGCCCCGCCCCTCTCCAGGCCACGGCCAAAGATCTGGAGGGCACAAAGCTCCCCCATTCTGGGGAGGGGCATTTCTCTTTAGATGACTCTCGTAAGAACTTGGGAGTGTGAATAGAACCCCGCTCTTCTAATAGTGAAACTGACCGATGTGGTGGCTAAAAAAAGCACATCTTACTGTCCGCGTTTGACACAGAAATCAGCCCCCTCTCTTGACCTGGCCAGTCTCAAGGCTCAATTACTGTACCCTGCTCTACATGCTGAGCCGGAGCTTCGTTTGCTGCCAGCGCACCTGGCCAAACACGGCCCTCATCTCAACCACGCACTCTGTTTTGTTGGCATACTGACATCTACACAGTCAGATGCCCTTACACAGAGAGCCAGTTTGGTGTCGTGGTTAAGTGCGCGGACTCTAATCTGGGAGAGCCGGGTTTGATTCCCCACTCCTCCACTTGCATCTGCTGGATGACCTTTGGCAAGCCGTAGTTCTGATAAGAGCTGTTCTTGAAAAAGAGCAGCTTCTGTCAGAGCTCTCTCAGCCCCACCTCCCTCACAGGGTGTCTGATGTGGGGAGGGGAAGGGATAGGAGTTTGTGAGTCGCTCTGAGACTCTGAGTGAAGGGCGGGGTAGAAATCTAACCTCCTCCTCCCCATCACCCATTTAATGGGTTGAGCCCCAGGTTAAGAGCCCAGGTTAAGAGCCCCAGGTTAAGACCACGGACTGTAATCTGGGAGAACTGGGTTTGATTCCCCACTCCTCCGCTTGCACCTGCTGGATGACCTTGGGCAAGCCATAGTTCTGATAAGAGCTGTCCTTGAAAGAGAGCAGCTTTTGTCAGAGCTCTCTCAGCCCCACCTCCCTCACAGGGTGTGTCTGTTGTGGGGAGGGGGAGGAGAAGGAGTTTGTAAGCCGCTCTGAGACTCCTTTGGGTAGTGAAGGGTGGGGTATAAATCCAATCTCTTCTTCTTCTTCTTCTTCTCTCCAGCCAAAAACAATGCCTGCCTGCATACCCCTGCCTTCTACTACCACGCGAGACCACTGTCAGTACTGTCCATTCCTACTGGACAAGTCCAGCCCTTTTAGCAGAAACAGGAAACATCAACAGCAGGCTCACAGGAGGAGGAGGAGGGTTGGTTTTTCTACTCCGCTTTTTCTCTGCCCTAAGGAGTCTCAGAACGGATTACAATCTCCTTCTCTTTGTTTCCCAACAACAGGACAAAGTTCGAGTCCAGGGACACCTTTAAGACCAACAAAGTTTAATTCTGGGTACAATCTTTAGGGTGCACGTACACTTCTTCAGATGCTAGCCAATTTCTGCTGTAGCTCAGTGACGGAGCGCATGTGTTGCAGTATAAGGGCCTCGTGAAGAGCAGAGAGCAGCCATCACTTCAAGACAGAGACAACCAAAAAAGACAGTCTTGTTCTGCACACGCTAGCTTTCCAAGCTCATAAACTATAAAAGTTTCAGTCTAGCCTCGTTAGTTTTCTAAACCCCGACAGCAATGAAAAATTAATAACAAAACCAAGCTACAGGTTGCAAAACGTTACAGGGCATGAACAAAATGAGAGAGCCGTCTGTTGGTCATCTCTCCTCAGTCACTCATCAGAAAGCAAGATAGCCTACAGCATCGAATCCTGTCTGTATATTTGTCTCTGTAGCTGTGGACTTTTCTACAAGATGTATATTGTTCTTTAGGTTTTTTGTTATCAGTGTAGTATAATTAATAAGACACACCAGGGTCTTTATTGTATATTTAAGTATATGATTTAAACGGATATATGAGGACACAGTAGCTTATTGGAGTTGTGTGTTTTGCTTTAATACGGTGTTTTCCCAGGTTTGCTCAACCTGGCCATGTTTCCCCGTGTGTTTGTTGCCATAAACAATAAACGGTTCCGTCTAGCCTCGTAAGTTTTCTAACCACGATAGCAATGAAAAAATAATAATAATAAAACCAAGCTACAGGTTGCAAAACATTACGGGGCATGAACAAAATAAGAGAGCCATCTGTCGGTCATTAGGCAGTGTTAGCTAGTTTTCAAATAATCACGCTGTTGGAGCAGACTTACGATGTAATCTGCTTATGAGATAAAACGGGGGTTTGGCAAACAAGGCCACCTCGAGAAACGGCGGGAGAATGAGCTGCTAAGGGTAAACACGTATTTTTTTAAAAAACCATGACTCAACTTCTGTATTTTTTCAGTATGTTAACTCTGCAACGGTCATAAGAACCCAGCAGACATTCACTCACCACTGTCCAGAATTAGCCTGGGGCCAGAATACCCAGAATAAAAAGTAGAGACATCACCCTGCCAACAAAAGTCCGCATGGTCAAAGCAATGGTATTCCCAGTAGTCATGTATGGCTGTGAGAGTTGGACTACAAGGAAGGCCGAGTGCCGAAGAATAGATTCTTTTGAACTAGGGTGCTGGAGAAGACTCTTGAGAGTCCCTTGGACTGCAAGAAGATCAAATCAGTCAATCCTAAAAGAAATCAACCCTGACTGTTCCCTGGAAGGCCAGATAATGAAACTGAAGCTCAAATACTTTGGCCACCAAATGAGAAGGGAGCACTCCCTGGAGAAGACCCTGGTGCTGGGAAAGACTGAAAGTCAAAGAAGATGGGGACGGCAAAGGATGAGATGGTCAGACAGTGTCATAGATGCAACGAACATGAAATTGAGCAAACTTCAGAGGACGGCGGAAGACGGGAGGGCCTGGCGTGATCTGGTCCATGGGGTCGCGAAGAGTCGGACTCGACTGTGCGACTGAACAACAACAAAAATACCCACCACAGGACAACCTGCTAATTTGAGACTCCTGCAACATTTGTGAGCGGTTACGTGCTACACCAGGTGTGCCCTTAAACTGCCTCTCCTCCAGGCAGCCGCCATCACACTCTTTATCCTTTTCTCTTCACCAGTTTTAGACAGAGGCCAGAGTGAACGATGCCGCCCCAACACCCAAAAGGAAAGGAAATGGCAAATATTCTTGCACTCTTTGCACACAAATTCTACCCACTGGTAGCCAATGCAACACATACAAAGCTTAGAAAAGGCAGAAAAGGAAAATAACTGAACTCTGTTAACACTAGTTCTTGCTAGCTATACAGTTATGGTACAGCTTTACACATTTACCAATCTTACATGCACTGGTTACCAGTGTTCCCTCTAAGGTGAGTTGGTGTGAGCTAGCTCACAGTTTTTTAGCCTCTGGCTCACACATTTTTGCCTTTGCTCAGGAAGGATGGCTGCAGAGCAAACAAATCGATGCAGTAGCCAAATCGCTCGCTCACAAAACTTTAACGCCAGTGGCTCACAAAGTAGAATTTTTGCTCACAAGACTCCACAGCTTACAGGAAGCATTGCTGGTTACACTTTTAGAATGTAGAAGGTTCTATTCTAGCTGCAAAAATCATAGATCAGCGCAAAAGCTATTCTTGCTCTTAAGAAACAAAACACCTATGTCATTAGCAAGACAACAGCATGTTTTATACAAACATGAAGCTTATTTAGTATTAAATTACCAGTATTTGTTCCCGGGAAGAACGATAATACAGTTCACTGTCCACATTCCAGTAGAAACTGAGGGAGTCGAGACGTAACAACTGGAAAAACAGATAAGGTTCGTTAACTGCTAGCATCTACGATTCAGTCTCTTGCTGGTGAAATTTTAGCTCTAAATCTAGTGATCTGAGCTGAGGCTTAAATTTGTGGGAGTCTGCAAGGAAGGCAAAGGAGTAGATTAGAAATGACAAAATGTTATAAAATACAGTGAGGTCAATGGTGCATCCCCCATTCATTGTCATGAACAACCTGAGGGGCTGGGGGGGGGGGTGTTGCAAGGGATTAATGATCGTGCTTCAGGGATGTCTCCCTCTGACCTCCTCCCTCTACATGGAAATCACTAACTCCAGTTAGTTGGAATACTCAAAAGCAGGCAACTGGGCAAAAGTGGAGTTTGATTTTTCCTTGCAAACAGGGATTTTGAAAATGCTGATGTATCCAGGCACCCAAATTTAGATGTCACAACCAGCTGTTAAGACTTCTGTTTTCTACCTACTACGTGCCATTCTACAGGAAGAGCATGCAAACCCAATAATGAAGCAGGTTCATATCCGTCATGAACGAATGGAGTCTGAATGAAACCCAAGTGCTATATAGATTTTATCTTGCCTTGCGGAAGATATAACTTAAGTACATAAGACCATAAGAAGAGCCCTGCGGGATCAGACCAGTGGTCCATCTAGTCCAGCATTCCTGTCTCACACAGTGACCAACCAGTTCCTCTGGAGGGCCAACAACAGGGCAGAGAGGCCGAGGCCTTCATAAGAACATCAGAAGAGCCCTGCGGGATCAGACCAATGGTCCATCTAGTCTAGCATCCTGTCTCGCACAGTGGCCAACCAGTTCCTCTGAAGGGCCAACAACAGGGCAGAGAGACTGAGGCCTCCCTAAGAACACCAGAAGAGCCCTGCTGGATCAGACCAGTGGTCCATCTAGTCCAGCATCTCGTCTCCACAGGGGCCAGCCAGTTCCTCTGGGCCGCCAACAACAGGGCATAGAGGCTGCCTCCTGGCTCTGGGATTCAGAGGCTTAGTGCCTTTGAATGTGAAGGTTTCCCTCAGTCACCATGGCTAATAGCCATTGATAGATTTATCCTCCATGAATCTTATCTAATCCCATTTTAAAGATCATGTGACTCATCACACTTTCACATGGCTCCATTTTGACGGTTTGGCTATGGCACTGGCCAACTGTGCAGAACCCAAGAGACAAATTTGGGTTCCTAAGATGCAGCAACTGAAAAGACCACCAAGAAACGAGGTGGGAAACGGTGATCAGGATTCATGCACAAAGGAACTCAACTGAATGAATCATGAGGGGATTTGAAACCAAGGGACAGGGACATCTGTTTAATACTAAAAATAAAAAAAGATACCAATTCCTGTATCATAGCTTTGAAAAAAACAAAAGCACATCTCCCCCTATGCAAGGCAGAACTGAAAATTACAATGGGGGGGGGGGGGGGGGAATTAACTCCATAGAGGACGGAATATGTGGAAAGAACAATTCTCAGGAGGACAGCAATATGCTGGGGATGTGCCGGCAGCAAGTGAAAGCAATTTCATGCTTATTAACATCCCACAGTTTTGAATTTCCAGTACTTCAAATTAGGCCAGGAACAGAGAAACACTACTGGACTGCATACTCCACTGGTCTGAACCAGCACTTATAATAAGCACAACAGGCTTTAGAATTTTTTCCTACCTAAATGAAAGATAGAAGTTGTCTAACATGGTTATGCCCAGTGGCCCCTCCTGTCTTAAACTCAGAATAGTCACAAAATCCAGCCAATCCAGTTAAGCTGACCTGATATTTGTATTTGTTACAGTCAGCCACCCATCGGCCAAAGAAACAGAGAATGATTACCTAAGCTGGAATCCAAGGAACTGTATAACTGGTTCTCAGTGTCCAATGGTGTATATGGGGGGTAGGGTGGTTCCCATGCCACAAGCATCCACCTTATGTTACAGGTCACTTGGAAAACTACAAAGGCTTTCAAAAATCAGCGATATACTATTGGGGAAGGATGAGGGATGCTATTGAAAGGAAAAAAGTAAAACACTCCACTAAGCATGGCTGTCACTAAAATAGCTCTTTGAATCCCAGCTGCTGAACTTATCATTCTCTTGTGTGCACTCTCTAATTCCTTCATGGATTTCCACTTTATTTAAGCATCTGCTCTGAGAAACTGCAATAGTGACAGACAGTACCTTATATATGATTTTTGCAGCCTCGTTTAGAATGCAAGGAGCCCAGTTTTCATTAGCGGTCTGGAAATTAAAGACATGCATTTTAGCAAATTTTCACTTGCTCTTCATTTCAGACACTTTATACACTCCCACAACCTTCTAAGTGCGAAGCATTTTTGGCCACTTAATAATAACGGCAACAAATAATTCACACTCAGGTGGTGTCAAATGTTTCAAAACAGCAAGCTCCTATAACCAAAAATGAAACCTTGCCAGTGTTTTCTCACATTCTGATACCACGGCAACTTTGAAGTGTTCCTCATTTTAAAATATTAATCAAGTAATAACCAGGTTTAGGAAAGATTTCCCAGTATGCAACTTGCTACATCAAGCAAGAAGAAGAAGAAGAGATTGGATTTCTACCCCGCCCTTCACTACCCACAGGTGTCTCAGAGTGGCTTACAAACTCCTTTCCCTTCCCCTCCCCACGACAGACACCCTGTGAGGTAGAAGAAGAGGAGGAGATTGGATTAATACCCCACCCTTCACTACCCAAAGGGGTCTCAGAGCAGCTCACAAACTCCTTTCCCTTCCCCTCCCCACGACAGACACCCTGTGAGGTAGAAGAAGAGGAGGAGATTGGATTAATACCCCACCCTTCACTACCCAAAGGGGTCTCAGAGCAGCTCACAAACTCCTTTCCCTTCCCCTCCCCACGACAGACACCCTGTGAGGTAGGTGGGGCCGAGAGAGCTCTGGCAGAAATTGCTCTTTTTCAAGGACAGCTCTGACAGAACTACGGCTTGCCCAAGGTCATCCAGCCAGGTGCAAGTGGAGGAGTGGGGAATCAAACCCGGTTCTCCCAGATTAGAGTCCGCGCACTTAACCACGACACCAAACTGGCAAGCCAGGACAAAGAAAGTTTTGGAAAAGACCAAACGCCCATTCCCACCCTGCTAACTTCCAATAGGCAGGTTCCCATCGTTCCTTCTTGCTGGGGATGCCAGCCTCCAGGTGGGACCCGGGGATCCTCCGGAATTGCAGCTCCTCTCCGGACTGCAGAGATCAGTTCCCCTGGAGGAAACGGATGCTTGGGAGGGTGGGCTCTCTGGGGTCCCTGTGCTTCCCAGGCTCCATCCCCCAAACCTCTAGGAGTTTCCCAAACAGGATCTGGCAACCTCACCCCTCCGTCTCCTGCCCGTGGCCAGGAGAGATGCGGCAACCAGTGTTCCCTCTCAGCTGAGTTAGTGTGAGCTAGCTCACAGTTTTCTAGCCTCCAGCTCACACATTTTTGTCTTGGCTCAGGAAGGATGGCGCCGGAGCAAACTAATTGATGCAGGAGCCAAACCGCTGGCTCACAACTTTAATGCCAGTGGCTCAGAAAGTAGCATTTTTGCTCACGGGACTCCGCAGCTTAGAGGGAGCGTTGGTGGCAACCCTACAGTCTTGAGCATTCAGCACTGGAATGATAACTTTTTCATCCTTGAAAACTCAGCTCCTCCTAATTCAGGAAAAAAAACACCCCACAAAATGATTAATGAACTCACTTGCTACTGTGTCAGTACCAAAGAAACAGTTATTTTATTGTGCCGTCACAGCAAATTTCCTAGAAAAGTATTACATCGCAGGGCCTTGACCTGCTTGTAATTTTCTCTCTCGGGCTCTCTGTTTTTGCAGCTGTGCAGCTGCTTTTCAAGGACCTGATGGTTCGTGCTGAGTCACAGAGCTGCCTTTTTCCAACCCGGTCAGGTCAGGTTCGGGCATCCAGCCAGGCCTCTTACATTCCATCCCTTTCCTACCGCTCCTGCCTCTCGTACTAATATTTCCCCTTTTCCAATTGCACACCCACGTTCATGAGACTGAGGATTACAAGACTCGAGAGCTTTGCTCTTTTCATTAACTGTGAAGCATGGGAAGCTCCCCCCCCCCCCCCGGTTTTTCGCCGCTCCTCCCAAAGAGCTCAGCGTTACCAGCAAGCTCAGCTCGCCCAGAGTCATTCCAAAAGAAAGGGGTCGGCAGGGGTCTGTGATCTGCAAGAAAGCAAAACAAAAGTGAAATGATGACAGAAACATTACTAGATTATTCTAGTCCCTGGTTATAGAGGTCACAAGGGATACAAAATCTATGTGGACTGTCTGAAACAAACACCAACAAAAGAAAAAAGCCTAACTTTGAGACTATGACTTTGTATCTTCAGGTTATTTTAGGTAACTTCTCTAGAAACTAACTCGCGAGAAGGCAGTCCTGAACAGCTGGCTAGAATGCAAATAATTACCTACATAACAACAACAAAAGTTCAATATAGTCAAAGACCAATCATATAACATACACAATGTGAGTGAAATATACATTCAGATTGAGACGTGTAAAAATAAAAATCGGGACTAAGTTCCAACAATAAGCCAATTAGATGCTTCCCCCTACAAATTACTTCTGGAGTCTTACAGCTGGTAGATGTTCTCCCCTGGGATTAGGGAGTCCTCCTGTGGGGATAGCAACATATTTTTTTCTCCCTCAATGACCCATGTACTCACAGAGCTTCTATGTTAGCACGTTTTAATGGGTTGCCTTCCGCAGTACTTCAAGGGAGATTTTCAAAGATTCCTTACGCACAGAGGCTATGTGATTGTGGAAGAAAGGAAGCAGAAAGTATTGAGCACGGCCTTCTGTATTGTGAAAACTATGCTGACATTCGTGTTAAATATTTAGATTGGTGGTTAATGGATTTAATAGGCCAATCTGATAATTATAAGTCCTTTTTTCTTCTTTCTTCAAAAAATGCTGTAACTGTTGAAATAGTGGCAACTATTAAGAGTGGTTGAGCAGTGGAACAGTCTGCCTCGGGAGGTGGTGGAGGCTCCTTCGCTGGACGTTTTCAAGCGGAGGCTGGATGACCATCTTTCGGGTATGTTGTAGGTATGTAGGGCTGTCTTTCAGCTATGCTCCTGCAGAGTGCAGGGGGTTGGACTAGATGACCTGCAAAATCCCTTCCAACTCTAACATTCTATGATTCTATATCTGGCTTCTAAAAAGCAAGTTATGTGTTAACTGTACTGTCTACTCCTTATGGTGTATACTTCTTAGCAGGGCTTTTTTTGGTAGAAAAAGCCCAGCAGGAACTCATTAGCATAATAGGCCACACCCAACAGCAGAAACTCATTAGCATATTAGGCCACACCCCTGACAGTGCAGCTCATTAGCATATTAGGCCACACACCCCGTGTCTTCTCTTGGCTTTCCTGGGCTCCCCGCGGCTGTGGGGAGCCCAGGTGAGCTGGCCCTTGGACAGGCCAGGGAAAGCATGGGGAAGCATTTAAATGCCTCCCCGATCCTTCCAGGGGCTCCCCTGGCCCGCCCGCCAGCTTCTGAGTCACTGGGGGGGGGGTCGCTCTCCAGGCTTTCCCTCTGCAGCCACACACACGGAGGTTTTGGCTGTAGTGGGCGTGGCCAACTCTGAAGCCAGCTGGTACTCCGTTCCTGCGTGTTCCTGCCCAAAAATAGCCCTGCTTCTTAGTGCATAATGCCAATAAAGGCTGTTGTGTTGTATTAAGTCTTACAGCTTGTCTACGTGTCAGTTTATAGGAAGACCTCTAGAGGCAACTGTCAGGTGTGCCCAAGCTCTGCAACGAGACCACCATTTATTTTCAAAGGTGCAGACGAGGGCCCCCCATCCTTTTCCAGCCTCCAGGCGTGTTTGAAATGCTGATAGTGTGGCTGGCGCGGCCACAAAAACGGCTGCCGCATCTGGCAGAGCCAAACACAAAAATGGCCGCCACAGTTTACCTTCAGTCACCCAGGGAAGATCACTGCGCTGTGGTGGCTGCCGCTGCCGCCGAAGCAACGTTTTGAAAAATGTGCAGAGCCTGCTGAATCTCCAATGGCCAATCAGAAGCCCTGCTGGGCAAAAGTCCCACCTGGCCCCTCCCACCTTTTAAAAACACTTGGTGGGCTCTAGGAAAGGTGTGAGCTGGTGCCCCGACACCCACGGGCAGCGTATTGGTTGTAGAAGTATCTAGAAACACCTGTCGTAGAAATAGCTAACCTCTTCGAACCATCTCAGTTTTCAACTGGTTTTCCAGCACTCCAGTGACATCAGAAATTGGTTATTCCTACCAATAGGCCGTGCATAGCTTGCTCTGACCTTCCTCGTATCTCTAAACGGCCATTTCATCTCAGGAAACGTTTTCATTGCCAAGCACGTACATTGTGAGGGTTTGGTTCATCCTAAACATTGCCGCTTTTCGCCTCCCGCTGGAAGCTGCACAAACAGCACTGCAAAAGTGGCAGGGGACATTCGCTGTGGCTGAGCTCATAAGTCCTGAACACCCATGAAGCAGAAATCAGGCCCTTGGTCCCTCAAAGTCAGTGTTGTCTACTCAGACTGGCAGTGGCTCTGCAGGGTCTCAGGTGGAGGTCTTTCCCATCACCTACTGCCTGGTCCTTTTAGTTGGAGATGCCGGGGATTGAACCTGGGACCTTCTGCATGCAAAGCAGAGGCTCTTCCACTGAGCCACAGTCCCTTAATGACTGGCAGACGTATCGCAGTATGAACTGGCAAGGATCATGGCCCTTAGGGACAAGAGATGGAGGGCCTACATGTTCAGTCAACAGACACACGGCACCCTGCAACTCTGGGCTGGGGGGGGTAAGGTAAAGGTAAAGGTTCCCCTTGCTCGAAACCCAGTCGAATCTGACTCTAGGGGTACGGTGCTCATCTCCGTTTCCAAGCCGAAGAGCCAGCGCTGTCCGAAGACTTCTCCGTGGTCATGTGGCCAGCGTGACTAGACGCTGAGGTGCACGGAATGCTGTTCCCTTCCCACCAAAGCAGTACCTATTTATCTACCTGCAATTTTTTGCTTTCAAACTGCTAGGCTGGCAGGAGCTGGGACCAGAGACTCTGTCACGCGGCACTGGGGTCTCGAACTGTTGAACTACTGACCTTCAGGTCTGCAGTTCAGTGTCTTATAGACACCATGGCCCTATTGGGGGGGGGGGGGTTATATACCATTAAATAAATACCTTCTGACATACAGTTTTGTTTTTTTCCTGAAAAGTGAGGTCCTATTTGAGCGACGGCCATAAAGGGCCAACAACTCTACTGAAGTGCTATAAGGGATCACAGTATCATTTGCTTCAGCTAGAAGGGATTCACAATACTTACATCATCCTCGTACTTGATATGGATTCCCGTGATTTTGACTTGGACGTTTTTGATGACCTGCGTGGCAAGTTTTTCCAGAAAAGTGTCTTTCTTCTCTTCCTTTGGTTTGTCTAAACAAAAAGGAAGCCCGGCTGGTCAGCAATTCCACCCCAAGGCCATGTTTCGCTCCAGAGGTTCTTCAGTGCCATTAAGCTTCACATCAAGCCGCCACATCAAGCAAGGTGCGCTTTCCATCACTCTTACTCTACGGTTTCAAGCTAGACTTGTTTCATTTCATGATTTCGGTTTGGGAGGGGGGAGTTAATCCGCAGCAAAATGGCCTGATTTGCATTTTTCCCCCTCCCTAGACAAGAAGAAAGCAAATAAAGTAGGTGGAAAGTCACCAGCTTAGTCACGAGAATTCACTCCTGGGGGGGGGGAGAAGCCCCCTTTTACCAGATGATGTAGCATATTTATACAGTCTTTTGAAACGTGGCCTTGTTCCCTTTCTCCCCCAGTCAAGTGACTTTATTCACAGCAACTCGACGAAGCCAAGACCGTGCGATGAAAGGAGGCACGTGCCACGTGCTTGCGGTGAATTCTGAACACCATACGCCTTTGCAGAAGCAAGCCAGAGAGCGGTTTGTTCCCACAGCCCACCCAGCTCCCTGATTTAGTCAGGCAGAAACCCTTAAGCCAGGCAGGGACTCTCTGACCTGCTCTCAGCTCATTTCAGAGGCTTCTCTTTAAAATCTTGTGACCACTCCTACGACACAAACAATGATGCTCCCCCACTCTCAAAATCAGCCACCGAGACCCTCCTCGGAATGGCAAACGCAGAAGGACGCAAGGCTGCCCCCCCCAGCAGCAGGGTCTTTTTGGCAGCTGCTCCCTACACTGTGAAAACCCACCCCTCAAGAGACTCCATTTGCCTGATTCAGAAAGCAGGTGAAGCCCCTTTTTATGGCAGAGGCAGAACCTCCTAACAATTTTAAGGGACTCGCTTAGAAGGATTTGGGCTGTTTTACTGCTTCTGGTTTTAACGGTTGTTAAACTGTTCTAAGAATATTTTTAGTATAAAACTACAGGAGTTAGACTGTACAGAAAGACGCTGCACATTCAAGAACAGCTACCTGCCTTCTAGTCCCTGAACAGTACAAAAACCTCAAGCAAGGGCCATTTATCAGTTATTCCTCCTCGCACAGTTTGTACTGCCACCCAGAGATTTCACCACCCTACCTGATGCACTTTACCCCATAACCTGCGACACAAACCTGTATAAATCATAAACAAGCAACTATATCCAGGCTGCTTCAGGCATGCTAACTTTAACACTCTCTTTTCGCACTGAAACGGGATGTTGGGCAAACAGCTCTACTGGGAATGAAAGTGACATGCATCTATATTTGATAAGAACATAAGAGAAGCCAATGTTGGATCAGGCCGATGACCCATCCAGTCCAACACTCTGTCACACAGTGGCCAAAAATACTAGGTGCCATCAGGAGGTCAACCAGTGGGGCCAGGACACTAGAAGCCATTCCCACTGTTGCCCCCCCCCAAGCACCAAAAATACAGAACACCCCTTGCCCCAGAGTTCCTATCTATACCTTGTGGCCAATGTCCCCTCTAAGCTATGGAGCCTTGTGAGCAAAAATTCTGCTTTGTGAGCTACTGGCATTAAACTTTTGAGTGAGCAATTTGGCTACTGCATACATTAGTTTGCTCTGGAGCCATCCTTCCTGAGCTAAGACAAAAATGTGTGAGAGGGAGACTAAAAAACCATGAGCTAGCTCACACTAACTCAGCTTAGAGGGAACACTGCTTGTGGCTAATAGTCACTGATGGACCTCTGCTCCATATGTTTATCTAATTCCCTCTTGACAAGTGAGAAAAGCACTCAGTACTTACAAATACAATCTAACCATTCTAAGGTGACAGATGCGAACTCAAAGGCAGAAACAAAACCTCACACAGCTCTAACATTGACCATTGTCTGTTGACCGTGGCACAAAATGAGCCACACAGTAAACCCCTAAGTCAGAGACCAAACGAATGGGTCATCGTTCAATGAATATCGTTAAATCAAACGGAGATCTCTTTGGGAGCCATTAGTATAACCCAGTGAGGAGAGAAAGCTCTGAACAGGGCACCAAAATTCAAGAGAGCAAAGGCGTATCTGATCAGGAACTGCCTGGCTTCTCCGTTCATATCCACATATGTAAGCAAAAAAGGAGTTCCTTGGCACATTAAAAACAAACAGATTTATCGAGGCATAAGCTTTCGTGGGCTACAACCTACTCCATCAGATTCCCGAAGCAGGCTCTGGCTCATATAAGCTTAGGCGACAATAAACCTGTTTACACCTAATGTGACGAAAGACTCATGGTTTTTGCTTCAGACAGAGGGACAGACAGACACCCACTGAAACACAAACACTAACCAACTATTTTAATCAACCCAATTAAGCCAATAAAGTCAAACGGTCACTGACTGACTTAGTGGCTGTCACCATGAATACGGTCACACGTTTCGTCATCTTATTATGGATGACTTGCTGAATTTGTTTGTTTTTTTTAAAAAAAACTGTTTATAACACTGAAAAATGAACACACAAAATGTGTAACACACTGTGCTAGTTTTACCCACCTTTTGAGTGATCGCGACCTTTAAATCGTTTCTTAAAATGCTTTTTAGACTTTTTAGACTTACGTCCTTCTCAATGCAAGCAATTTTACAGGAAAAAGGACAAATTAAAGTTAGGCAAGTATCACAGAGCAAGCAATGAAGATAAAGGAAGACAAAAAAATAAACAACAACAAAAAAGGTTGAAGGGAAAAAAACATGAAGAAAAATGACTGCATAAATTTAACGATTATTTCCAGTGGCCTGTAAGAAACGATCCTTATTCCTCTTAGCCAGTAGGAACAGAAGAGAATGGTCGCACAGGTTTTGCAGACCAACAAATTTAGAGTCCAACGGCACCTCTAAGACCAACAAAGGTTTTGTAGAGGTTGCGTGAATCACCCATCCAAGGCTTCCTAGGCAAGTTCATGTCTCTTTACATGTTCGGGTCCTGCAAAGTACTGAGGCACGGACAAACAGGAGGCTATTTGCCGGCACACAATTGGAGGGAGAAAGTCAGCCTAGCGTGGCTGTGACCTGGAAATCACCACTGCAGGAGGGATGATTCCAGATGTGCTTTGGAACGGAAGAGGGAAGAAAGGCTCCTTGCCATTTGGGAACCATTTGTGCCTGGATGGAAGCAGGGATGACTCTGGGTGGACTTCGCTGTAAGTCAGGAAGCTGTCAAGAGGCTTCCTGTACCCTGCCTTCAAGGAGCTGGCCCAGCTGGGAGTGGGGACGGGACAGGACAGGACAGGAACCTGGAGCCCCAGGTTTCCCTCTGGTCCACAGCTTGGGTTTAAAAGGATATCAAAACTGAGAGTCACAGTTCAACCAAGTAAAAAGACACAAGGAAACTGCAAGTCAAGCGCTACATCTATGAAACAAAGCCATTCAATAACAGTGTATTCCTTACTCAAACAGTGTGTGTGTGTGGGTGTGTGTGTGTGTGTGTGTGTGTGTGTATATATATATAAATAAATAAATAAAACAATCAAGTGCACAAAGAGAGGTCCTTGAAGGCAAACGTTGACGAAGCTCTCCGGATTGTGGGTTCGTTTCGTTAACACTTCATCTGAATGGGACCACAATAACGTGATGTCTTCTATTTCTTGAACACTGTTGAATGTTTAAACATTAAGCATGGTTTTCTGTACAGCGGGGTTTTTTTTCCTTTTCAATTCCCCGCTCTGAATTGAATATATACTAGTATGAACTACAGGAAATGGCTATAAGGAGGAATTGCTGTACAGAAAACAATCCAGAGGGCTTCGTCGACGTTTCCCTTTAAGGACCTCTCTTTGTGCACTTGATTATTACGGGGCTATTTTTGGGCAGGAACGCACAGGAACGGAGTTCCGGCTGGCTCCCAAGTTGGCCACGCCCAGCAGGAACTCATTAGCATAATAGGACACACCCAACAGCAGAAACTCATTCGGATTGGCTACATTAGGGGTGTGTGGCCTAACATGCAAAGAAGTTCCTGCTACAAAAAAAGCCCTGGGTTTTGACAACAAACAAAGTAAACAGAATAAGAAGCAGAAGGTGGGTATGGCTGGATGACCACACTTCTGGTAACACGAGGTGTGGCCTAATATGCTAATGAGCTGTGCTGTTGGGTGTGGCCTATTATGCTAATGAGTTCCTGGTGGACTTTTTCTTCAAAAAAGCCCTGGATTATTATATATATACATTGTCTGAGTAAAGAATACAGTTATTGAATGGTTTTGTTTCACAGATGTAGCGCCTGATTTGCCGTTTCCTTGGGTTGAAAAGGAGCCAACAAAAGATGGTGTGCCACTCTGGAACGCTCTCTCAGCAAAGAAGAAGAAACGGAAGGGGAGAGGCAAAGTTCTTGCCTCTTGAGTGGAGAAGGAAGAAAACGCCACAGATCACTAGTTGTTAACAGACCCTTAATGGCCTGGTCCCGGCTAGAGAGAGAGAGCCGTTTGCCTGCTAGGCAGGGCCATGCTAAGCAAGTCTACTCATTGGGGCGTATTCCCAGGAAAGCACTTGTAGGACTGCGCTTGTACCTACTTAAGGGGAGGGGCAGCCATTGCCCTGAACTGGGCAGCCCAGGCTAGCCCGATCTAGTCAGATCCAGGAAGCTAAGCAGGGCTGATCCTGACTAGTAAATGGATGGGAGAGACCCCCAAGGAATACCAGGGTCGTGACGCAGAGGCAGGCAATGGCAAACCACCTCTGAGCGTCTCTTGCCTCGGAAACCCTACGGGGTCACCGTAAGTCCTCTGTGACTTGACAGAGGTCACCCATTTAAACCTGATTTTGCAGAATCTTATCTTATCTTAAGAAGAAGGAAGTATCCATGTCTGCTGGAAATTGACAGTGCCAATCAGACCTCTCCAGTTGTAGCGAGGAGTCTGACTGGCACTGCCCCGACCACATCTTGGTAGTCTGTTTATATATGAATTTGGTTTTTAGACTGCCCTCCCTTATTGTGCAGGGCTCAGGGCGGCGAACAACAATTCTAATAAGTGCATTCTTAAAACAGTTAGAACAATAGACAATGAAGACAATTTCAGATGACGCTTACAATAAACTAATTTGTATCCTGTGCTGCGACGGAAGGAGCGGAGGAGGAGCCAGGCTAAATTTAAAAACGTCGCCGCCCCCAACCGTAGGCCTGGCGGAACATCTCTGCCTTACAGGTCCTGCGGAACTGCATTAAGTCCCGCACAGCACGGAGGTCGCTTGGCAGAGACTTCCACCAGGTTGGGGTGCCAGCGACGCTGCCACTGTATCTGGGGGGAGGCAGGAGGCTGCTGGGTGAACATCTTAATGTGCTGGAATGCTGACTTTAATTTCTTCCTCTGTGTCTTATCTCTTCGCCTAGGCTTGTGACCTTGATACCTTGCTCCTGTTGCTTCGCTGGGAACATGAACCCGTTAGTTTAGGCGCGCTGCAGTTCATCCTCTGACTGGCCCAATTCCATAAGGGGACCCCACGTTGAATCCCGTATAACTTCCCCCTTTCCCACCTGCAGAGCTAGATCTAACACTGAACGTACGCACAGATGACCTGCCTTTACTGTACTCAATAAACTTGATCCTTTATGAAGGAACGCTGTTGAGACTCACTGCTGTGGGACTCTGACATGGGGCCAGGGCCAAAAATGTTTTTCGGGCCGGGGATCACCAGTAGGTTCTACTCCCCAGAATGTAATGTTCTTCGGGGGGGGGGGTAATACCAGGAGAGGCGGTCCCATAGATACGTTGGCCTTAAAGGTTAATACCAGAACCTTGATCCTGATCCTAACCACAATATGCTGCCAGTTATCAGCAACATATTCGCCTGTGTCGTATCTCCCACTTAAATCCCAGCTGTGGAAAACTTTACAGGCATAGGGCATGGGCATTTTAAAAACTAAACGAAAGCTCCACCCTTTCCCCACAAAACACATTTAAACAAAAGACAACTGACTTGCTGGGTCATACTATTTGCTATGGCACAGAATCAGGAAATTCTCACCTAGGGCATTAATGATTAAACGGCATAACCTAGCCTAGCTTCTTTTTAATAGGGTGCCAACAGATTTTTTTTTTTAATTTATCCTTCTGTTTGAGTTCAACCACACTAACTGAACTCAAAGGCTGTTTTATCCGTATTTAGTTTCTCCCTGGTAGCCCCAGCATGCAGTGCAATGAAATATTTATTTATGTGGAATTAAAAAAAACTATTTCAAGCAAATTTTGCCTGTCTGGGCTAGGATCTTGAGCCCCTTACACAGAAGCAGACTGAAATCAGTGGGATTTGTTTCCAAGTAAGCGTGATCGGGACTGGTGTACAGACCAGCCAATTTCTTTCCATTCTTTTTCTTGCCCTTTCCTTCACAGAGCTCAGAGCAGAGTACAAGGTTCTCCTTCCCCACTGCAGTTAGTTATGACAGCGCTTTAGAAAAGGCCTTGAGAAATTATATTTGTAAAGAACAATAATATTAACCTACCTGTCTTCTGAAATACAAGAATCGCAGGGTTTGTGCACATGCATGCATGCATGACAGAGAGAGACTGCATGACAAACTTTTCAGAAACGTTATGTCAGATCTATTTCTGAGGTTCTGATTAGTACCCAAACGGGTGTATCAACTACACATTTTGGTATGAGCTCAACAGGCATCTAGCTCCGCTCTAAGTCAACCCAACCTGGCCAGCAATCATTCAACCTCCCTCTCCAAAGCTCGTCGGGAGCAGTAATTAACCGTGCATACCCACCAGGCGTGACATCCTTGTACACAATGGTCTCCAATCCGTATATGAAATCGGAATGACCTCCTTCATCCGTGTGATAGCAACAACCAAAAAAGCATACATTTTTAAACATCATCTACTTTTCAAACTGAACCATCAACAAAGTTTTTTGTTAACACTGAAACAGACAAGACCAGTTGTTGCATTCAGTGCAACAAATAAAGCACTGATTTTGCTTTTGGTGACAAAGGTAGTAAGTACTGGTGGTATTATACAATTGCGTTAAACAAAGAAATGAAGGATCCAGTTTTTTGTTACACCAGTCACTAAGAGCCACATTTTTCCCAGAAAGTTTGCTAATCGTGCAAAACACACGTACAGACTATTTTGTGTTTGTTGGCTGGCTGGGTTTTGTGCCAATTTACAAGTTCGCCAAAACATCTATTCCCAGTTAACCCGATAAGAAGAAGAAGAGATTGGATTTATACCCCGCCCTTCACTTGGAGTCTCAGAGCAGCTTACAAACTCCTTTCCCTTCCCCTCCCCACTACAAACACCCTGTGAGGTAGGTGGGGCTGAGAGAGCTCTTGACAGAAACTGCTCTTTTCCAAGGGCAGCTCTTGTCAGAACTATGGCTTGCCCAAGGTCACCCAGCCAGGTGCAAGTGGAGGAGTGGGGAATCAAACCCGGTTCTCCCAGATTACAGTCTGCACACTTAACCACTACACCAAACTGGCTCTCAGAAATAAGCATGGAACTTGATCTGGATTTTGCAATGCAGAAAGAGGCTTTCGAAAGTCGTAACCTACATACCCAATAACATGGAAAGTCTGTAGGATTTAGAAGAATTCCAATTAACCTGCTTCCAAAAAATATTCGAAGTGTAAAAACCAGAAGAATGCAAACCGGCCCATAGAGTGTGAAGAGTCTTCAACTCAGAAACTTCTACCAACATTTCTCTCTTCCTGCATCATTTTTCTGACCAGCCAAGCAACTGGGATCTTTCCAGGGCCACTGCTGACCTCCCTCTCAGACACTGTTCTTAGCCTCCGTTCTTCAGACAGACGATATAATCCAGAAGAGGAACGGTTCCCAAACGGTTTTTGGTCTGTCATTTCAGACAGAACCGTTTTAGAACCGGTTCCCTACCGGAATATATTTGTAATTTCAGACACAAACGTTTCTGTCCCGTTTAGGAAATGGGGCTGAAGCGTTTTACCTGTCAACTGCTTCCAAATAGTCTTCAGTTTCTTCTCCCGGTTCCGATGTGCTTTTCCCCGCCGTTTTTCGCCCGTGTGGGCAATCTCCAGGTTTGGGGTTTTTTTTGGGAACCTTCACTTTATAGCGTTATAGCGCTATAACGCAACAGCATTATATCAATCCCATTGGAATGCCTGGAGTGTTTTGTTATAGTGCTATAGCGCTCTAAAGCGAATGTTCAAAAAAAAAAGAAAAAGGCGGAGATCGCCCGCACGGGGGAAAAACAGCGGGGGGAAAGCAGTGCAGTCTGAAATGGTAAACTGCTTCAGATCCAGCTCTTTACCGGAAGGGGAAAGCCATGTGTGAAATGGCAGCCCTATACTGGTTTACTCCATGACGGATCAAAAACGGCTTCAAAACGGGTTAAAAAGGGTAATGTGAAATTCCTCTATATCTTACAAAACTGAAATACAACTGTTACCATACCTTTCTCTGCTGCTTTCTGCAGGGCGTCTTCGATTCTTGCCAGATCCTTTTGCTTACTAGCCTGCAGATACTTTTCCTCTTTTTCTGCATCATATTTAATGCCTAGAAGACACAGGAGATACAGAACTGATGACCAAGTCACAAGGTGGAACTCTGGGAGGACAGCGCCTCATGAAGGAACTGGCTTGTTACCACCTCCTCCCTTACAATTACCTCTGTTTCTCCAAATACCCCTTTATATATCTATCCGTTCCCAAAGCTACATTCCTTTGGGGCAGCCCACAGAAGGCACACTTTGGTCTGGTTCATGCATCACACTCTCTAATGAAGAATGTGCTGCTGGTACACCCATTCACCCTCTAGCCTCCTACCCCTGTGAAATTTTATTTATTTATTTATTTATTAGATTTCTACCCCGCCCTCCCAGCCGAGCCTGGCTCAGGGCAGCTTACATAAAACAGCGCATAAATTACAATAATTAAAACACTTAAAACAGTACAGCAACCAATTGGTGACATAATAAGTGCTAGTATTATTATCCCAGATTGTCGTCACTTCGGCGATGGCTGCCGTACTCAGTTCTCTCATCAGATGATCGGCTTCTAGATCTTCTTCAGATGTCATTCAGGCGATTAACACAGGCCGCTGTTAAAAACTCCAGGGACACAGAGGTCTCTGTCCTGCTGCTGTTAACTGTTAGTAATATTTAGTGGTGGCCCTGGTTGTCACCAATCTGGCCTCCTTACAACTCTTCCTCTAAGCTGTGGAGTCTTGTGAGCAAAAATTCTACTTTGTGAGCCACTGCCATTAAAGTTGTGAGCGAGCAGTTTGGCTACTGCATAAATTAGTTTGCTCTGTGGCCCTCCTTCCTGAGCTAAGACAAAAATCTGTGAGCTGGAGGCTAAAAAACTGTGAGCTAGCTCACACTAACTGAACTTGAGAGAGAACACTGCCCCTGTGTGAAGTCCCCCCCCCATCTATCACCCATTTTACTGGTAACTTACTTGCCCCAGGGACAACCAGAAGATACAAGCCTTCTAGAGTTGCAACTACGGCTTCTCCATACAAATTCTTCCAGGGAATCTTCAAGGTCAGCTTATCTACAAATAAGATACCACACATTAGAGAGTTTAAACATGAGTACAGACAATAGACCGTGCAAAGAGATTTAGCTGTAACGGAACAATATATAATAAAATTCGAGTCCTCAAAGACTAAATTTTTTTCCCAGGGAACCCACTTTCATGAGCAGAAGCTCTCTTCATCAGATCACTATGGAACTACGTATCTTTGCCTTGCATATGATACATATGTAGGTTTTCTTGTATAAATGTTTTTACGCATTACCCAAGCTGCAGAGAGATACCAAAAGCTACAAGCATTCTGGAGAGAAGTTCATGCCTCAAAATCTGGTGTTCTACCAAAATGGCGAAAGTTCATTTAGAAATAAAGTTTGTGTCAAAGCAGGAAGCACTGGGTTTCCAGTCTATCGGAACAAAAATATATAAAGTCTTTTTACACTGTGGAGCTGTTGGGAGGATATGTTTATGTTGGATATTGTAACTCTGCATGCCAGAGAAAAAGTTTCAAGAATTCTCTGCTTGGGTACTCTTGGCAGTTGGCCCCACCCTCACAATGGTTAGATGTTGAGCCTCTTTGGCTGTTGATTGCCTTCTGTTTTTATCTTATATAGGACCTCTCTTCTTCTTCTCTCTTACCTGGGCTTGGAGCTGTAGCAAGTTAACCTTTTTGGAAGTTAATCGGTTGCTCAGTAAGTTAAATGTACCTACACGAATATGGGTGCATTCAGGTGGGGCATTTATGCCGGAATAGATGCTGGTTGGAATTGGTGTACTTACGGGCGATCACACGGCGAACATCTGCCTTCTGTCCCTAACCATTGCAAACAGTTTTAAACCATTGTATTCTGCTACTAGGTCCCCAAGTGGTGGTATCCTGAGTGCACTGGTTCCAACCGCATTATCCCTGTCTGATCGCTCTCTGCCGGTGTCTAGCCACTTCTGTTCAGAAGCCCGAGGCTTCCGCTTTTCGGCCGCCATTTTTTTTAAAGTCTCCTCAATGTAAAAATTGACGTCTTCGCTTCAAGGCATGCTTTCCGGGTTGGGTTGTTCTGCGCCTGCGCAAAGTTCTTCATTATAAGGAAGCCTGCCTATGCGCAAATTGTGTAAAAATTCCAACCGGAGTTTATGCCGGCCAAAATGCCCCGTCTGAATGCACCCTATGTCATGTAAGATGTGCTTCTTTTTTTGTAAATAAAATTTCTTCCTCTTGTTACCACTGGAGTCAGATCATCTTTGTGATTTTTTGAACAGCAATTTTCCCCTTAACCAGAAAATATGGAAGATTGGGGATACTGCATAAAACTACTGTGCTTCCAAGGCAAATGGTGTTTTTTTACAACCCAACAGTTTATACCGAGACCATCAACTGAGCTCAGTGTTACCCGCTCTGACTCTGGTATGCAAACAGAGCACATCTTCATCATGTTACATGTTAATTTGCTGTTCAGCCTGTCTGTAAGTTTGAACCCTTACCTCCCATTCCACTGTATTTGAAAAAGTGTGCCTTGCACACGAAAGCCCATACCTTGAATAAGCCTTTGTTGGTCTTAAAGGTGCCCCTGGATTCTTAAATTTGTTCTAGAGCACAGTACTGCAACTGAGGGCCCTGGTTATGCAAAACACTGGGCATGCCCAATGCCACACGGGTCATACTCGTCCTGACCACCCATTATCACATTTTAACTGGGCCAGAAAAGTGAAAAATTGCTGTTTAAGTTCCACTAAAGCATGTTTCTAGTATTAGTCAAACAGAATCAGGAATCTGACCACACACAACTACCTTCAGTGGAATTTGTCACAATTAAAATGTGTGTGGTGATGATCCATGGCCACTGGCCCGATTTCCTTGGAAGGTCTCGTGTATTTTACTCTAGGACACGAATCTATTAACTGCCAGGTTGTTACCACTCATTTTCCGATAAAAAAACATGCCTCCAATTATCCACCTACCGATTTGTCCAGCCTTTACTCTGAAAGGTAGATCCAGTTCACTCTGATGGAAGGAAAAAATACACATTTATTATGTCAAAATTATCTTACCGCCTGTTTCACTATACAGGAACAAAGAGTTTATATTTTTTTATAATTATATTATAATTGTATAATTTTTAATTAGTAAATAACAGATTGGGGGCCGCAAGACTCACAGGGAGGGGGAATCCCATCCCCCCCACACACACACTCTCTCCCAGAGGAGAGAGCCACTCAAAGCAGCTCTCAATGGCTACCACAGAATCATAGGAAGTGACTGGGGAGGATTTAACACCCCCAATGTATTTTTTTCCTTCACATTTCAGATTTTTCTGCAAACCTGAGCGATTCCCCCAAGTTTGCAGAAAAATCTGTTTAGTGTCAGTGTGGCCCCAATCCACAGATTTAGATATCTGCGGGGGGGGGGGGCTTTGCTATATGATTAATCAAAAAGTAAACTAGGTTTTAGCCTCCCAGCATATTTAGTAGCATTGTAAACTTTCTGAGAGCACAATTCTTTATCACACTCCGTCGCAGAGCAGTTACTTTCGATGCTTGTCTAGCCCCACTCTGGCACATATAGAAAACTACAAGAGTATTCACTGGATTAAAAGAAGTGCTCACCAGTGCGTTCTCCTTGATCTGTAAATTGTCCAGTGCAACATTTCCTGTAAAAATAGAGGAAAATAGTTATCAGAATTTTCTGCATTAGGTCTGAAACATCCTATTTCATTCCACAGGGCCCGGCAAGGCTGAGGTGCTCCGCCAAGCGTATGGCTGAGGGCAGTAACAGCTTTTAATAACAGTTCTAAACAACAGCTTTTAACAGCAATTGTTTGTTTCTTAACAGTTTAAGAACCATTTGATTCAGAATCTGCTTCCACCCGTCTTCCCCCATTGCTAATGTAAATTCAGGGTCCAGAGTAACATGATGGCGCCATACGGTTACTGGACTTTATAACTGTATTTTAAATTACTTAATAGATTTTAGGTGTTTTATATGACTTTGATGTGAACCGCCCTGGGCCTGCTTGCGGAGAGGATGGTATACAAACCTAATTGAACGAATGAATGAAGAAATAAATAGAACAAAGTCAACGTGGTACAGTGGTCACAATGTCAGACCATGATCTCGAAGACCCAGCTCTGAATCCCCCTCTGCCACAGAAGCTTGCTTGGTGACCTTGGGCCACACCCTCTTGCACACTCTCAGCCTAACACACCTCACAGAATTGTTGTGGGGATAAAATAAAGAAGAGGAGAACGATGTCAGCTGCTTTTGGTCCCCACTGTGCAAAAAGGCAGGATACAATGAATGTCATGAGACGGCCAGGGCTCAGCGTTAGCGAGGACTCCTCGCTGGTGCAGAGCCGAAACCCCCCCAACCCTGATTCAGCAGGTGAACCTCAGTTGGCCATTCTCAGCCCACCGGTCTCACCCTCACCCTTAGAGCACCGCAGACGGAGGCTGAAAACAGAGCTACAGACAAGACGGCAAAGCGCACACCTCCTGGCCTGACACCAGCTGCTTGCTGATAACCAAGACGAGTAGTTGCAGGATTGCTTCTGAGCAACTGGTTGCAAGCATGACCTTTAGGCGCAGAGGTATAAAACCAGACAAGAGAAGCTGTTGGGTGGACACAATGCCTGACTGTTGGACCCTTGACTGAATTACTCTGCTTTGCCTGACTTCTGGACCTCTGACCTTGGACTTTGCTTTGCCTAACTTCTGGACCCCAGAGCTTGGACTGAATGACTCTGCTTTGCCTGACTTCTGGCACCTGATACTTGCAGCCTGAAAGCCAGTACAATGAATATGAGAGGGACAACTCTGCAAAATATAAGGTCTTTTATTGCTTCCTCATCGCCAAGTGACAGTAGCATACATATTTCTCAACTACTATTTCATAGAATCATAGAGTTGGAAGGGACCTCCAGGGTCATCTAGTCCAACCCCCTGCACAATGCAGGAAATTCACAAATACCTCCCCACCACCACCACCACTGACTGTTGCTCCATGCCCAGAAGATGACAAAAAAAAATTATCCTCCAGGATCTCCGGCCAAACTGGCCTGGAGAAAAATTGCTTCCTGAGCGCAAAGTGGCGATCAGCATTTCCCTGGGCGTGTCAGAAAGGGCCACGAGAACTAAGCACTGAGGCAACCCTTCCTGCATTCCCTCTAAATTCACAGAATCAGCATTGCTGACAAATGGCCATCTAGCCTCTGTTTGAAAACCTCCAAAGCAGGAGGTTTGAGAGAGTGTCAAAGGAGAAACGCCAAGGAGATCACAGACTCACACAGAAATCCATATTAGTGACAATGTAATTCTACTGCTTTACACCTACATTTTTCTATGCATCTGATTTTTACAGCAAACAAGTTAGGCATACCCTGGGAAAGAATATTCACACTGCATTTTGAACTCTAATGAGATCTGGGCAGGAGCAAAGCATAGTATGCCCTTTGTTGAAGTCTTTTGGTTTCATTTCCCATGATGTTCTGCCCAGTGCCAAGCTCCAGAAGGACACATCATAAACCTGCTAAGTCGAACCACTTCTGTTTCTTTCAGTGGGAACTTTTTAAACAGAAAGGAAACTCTAAACTCCGGGGATTGAAAGTGAAAGGTGATATCAGTAGGTCTGTTGGATAATATTTTTATTTAACAACGGCAATCAAAGTTTGCATGGCTGAAGTTGGCAAGCTGCCTTCCTTGTGATGCTGATAAATGTTGGGAAACTGAGCGAAGCTAAAACAAGGACCTGTATTTTGCAACAACAGCAAAAATCCATGTGTCAAAAGCAGCGATTTTGGGGAAGCCACGAACGGGGAAGAACATGTTCACAGCACAGAAGGAGACAGATGCCCACTTTGAACTGGCTTTGTGACATCAACTCCTTTAAATCAGCATCAGAAACAGGTCACTTGGTCAGATGGAAGTAACAAACTCTGACTTGTGTGTGAACCCCAGCTGGTCCGATTCTTGCCAGCACCAGTCTGCTTACTGACAATACACTGCTGGATTAAACTGACCTTCCATGAAAAAGAAACTCTTATGGAACAACCGTTGGGATCAGTTCACACCCATCAGCTCCCCAAACAGCTTTCTTGGATGACACATTTCAACAATATTTGCCACGCTGGAAGCAACAGCCTGGTCTCCTCTTTCACACACTGCCTTCAGCATGTCCAAGGGGGAGCACGAGAACTCGTTCTAATTTTCCAAAGGGCTCTGAGACATGCTTGAAGCTCACGTGCAAATATCCTCAAATCTAACTCCAACTCTAACCCTATCTCAAACAGGGGAAAGTAGGGCTTTCTGATACTTGCAGAAAAATAGCTATGTTAGTCTATTAGTCTATCACAGCAAAGCTACGCAAGCGTCTAGTTGCACTTTAGACTGAAAAGTTTTAATTTTAAGGAGAAGTTTTTGTTGTCAGTAGGCTCTAGCTCATGTTTACACTGGAAGAAAGCTTACCAGTCTTAAGATCCCACTAAAACGCGGTTTATTTTTGCATGTGAATAAACAGCTCTGAAGGAAACACACATTCTTCCCCCTCCCTCAGATAATGCCTCCACATGCTGTTATAGATGAGCTATCCCCTTCAGTTCAAGGGATAACACTACTTCTAAAGATGGGCAGTCATGTAAGTCTAGAGCAGCAAAATAAAACTGGAGTGGCAGAGTTCACTTCATCAGATGCATACGAGTGTATGTATCCAACCCATCTGATGACATAAGTTCCGCCTCACGAAAGCTTACACTGGAACAAACTCAGGTGAGTAGCCATGTTGGTCTGAAGCAATAGAACAAAGCTTGAGTCCAGTGGCACATTTTAAGTCCAACAAAGTTTACTTCTGGGTGTAAACTGTTAGTTTTTTAAATGCCACCAGGCTCCTGTTTTAAGAATATAGTGCCTGCCACACACAGTTTGTACAAATACTTGAATTCAAAATGCTACCACTGTTTCAAAATCCACTGCCTAAGAGGAAGAATCTTTTAAAGTGGTGAATCTAAATGATCAAGTGTTCTGCATCTCTACAAAAAAAGCCCCTTGTGACAATCTGGACTGACTGTGGAGGGAAAAAGAGGGAAGAAGAAATTGGATTTATACCCCGCCCTTCACTACCCAAAGGAGTCTCAGAGCAGCTTACAAACTCCTTTCCCTTCCCCTCCCCACGACAGACACCCTGTGAGGTAGAAGAAGAAGAAGAGATTGCATTTATACCCCGCCCTTCACTACCCAAAGGTGTCTCAGAGCGGCTTACAATCTCCTTTCCCTTCCCCTCCCCACAACAGGCACCCTGTGAGGTAGGTGGGGCTGAGAGAGCTCTTTCAAGAACTGGCCCTAAAGAACAGCTCTGAGAGAACTTGTAACTTACCCAAGGTCACACCAGCAGCTGCAAGTGGAGGAGGAGTGGGGAACTGAACCCAGCTTCCCCAGATTAGAGTCTGTACTCCTAACCACTAAACTGGAGAATTACACATGCGTGCTTGCAAAGCAAATTTTTAAGGACACCCTACCCCAAAATGTTTTTAAACTAGCTTTCAAGAATGTGCAAAATAATGTTTGGAAAGTTTACCATTCCACAACGAAACTAATCTGAGGCAGTTCATTCATATGACCCACAAAAAACCATTCCTTCATCTACCAAATTAATACAGTCCAGTTCCTCTTAGTCACCACAGATCAGCTGATTTCTTCCAGGCAACACTTGATCTTTTCTAACCTTTCCCCCCCTCAAGTTCTCTGGCTTCATCCAGCTTTGTGCCGCTGGCTAACCCAACAAAGTAAACACGTCCTCAGTCGAAAAGCAGCTGGGATTGGTTTTACGAGAAAACTTCACCTCCTTTAAAAACCTGTATTTCCCAGGAAGTATTATGTTACTCAGCAAGGGAAAACAGGAGTGAAAAACAATGAGGATATTTTTTGCATCTTTCCAGATAGCACTGTCCCTCTCAAGAAACATCATGCAAGAACATCTGCTGTCCCTATACATTCCCACTGTCTTCAATTCCTTCCAAACCAGGCACTGCCAAAAGGCCAAAGGATGACAGGGTGCAACGATCATGCAGTACAGTGACAAAAGCATGCAAACTGTAACTGAGAGAACTGGATTCAACCCCCAATTTCAGCCTCGGTATTCTTTTCATTAAAGAGGGGGCTGGCTTTTCTTACAAGGTTATCATGAGGTGAGGGAATTAAAAACCACCTAAACCAGGTTAATTCACATTAGCTTTGGATCTCATTAAATAACTTGTTTTAACATGAGATCTCGGTTTCAGGACAAGAATATTCAAACGTACGTTTTCCTCTTAAAACTGAACCAACTGCTCGCTGTCATTGAGCTAGACTGCTTTCTTACATAAAGAGCCCCTCCCCCCAAAAATACCTCCTTTCTGAGGTCAAGCATGATAAATATAGTACGTGTTCTATTGTGCCATGTTTATTAAACTAGACTGATACTGTGAGCCAGGAACTTGGACTTTTAAAAAAATCTTTCCACATACCTAACTCCCAAAACAAATGGACGGGCAAATCGCCTTGAGTACAAGGCAACTGACGGATCGTTTTTAAGAAGACGTGGCTCTTTGCAAAAGAAGGACCATCGTTGTTGTTTTTTTAAGGAACTGTGAGCAGACAGTGTCTGTTCCCTGGGGCATTAGGG